CACAATAATTTCCAGTTAGAAATACTGTATAATAAATATGTAATTTTAAAATTGAATGAATTATTTGAGGTATAATTAACGGCGGTTTACTTAATGCTTGAAGAAATTTCTTCTAGTGAAAGAAATGTCTTATATTGTCATAAAATCGCCGTTCGCAACTTTTCCATTCCCAATGAAAATAACGAGCCCAACAGTTTCGAATTAATATGTGAAAATTCACAAAAGCAGAATCCGTGTCATAGTTTTTTTTTTTTTTTTTTTTTTCAATTATTGCGTCATAATTTTCGATGACTTTAACCATATAACCATTGCACTCACACGTGAGCTTGAAAAACACGTGGCCACAAATTGGTGCTTTGCTGCGATTTATCTCGTCGAGATAAGGACTAACAAAAATAATAATACATAAACGCGAAAAAGAAATGACTGTAACGTAGAGAATAAAAAGGGATACATAAGAGCTGCTTTCGTAGTTATTGTGCAAATTATTCGACAAAATTTGAATTGTGCCTTCTCCCTTTTTCATCTCTCGCGTATTTACACACTTATATATATATATACTAATCGATTAAAGTGAGAGCAAGAGACAGTTAAGGTGAACGCTAATTTATGTAAGTTTTTACGCGCGTGTGTGTATATGTATGGATGTATGAGAAGAGTGGACGAAAAAGATGCTTTAAGTGGAATATTAATCGATACCGAGCAAGAGCTAAGATTTTTTGTCTACAGAGAGAAAATAATAATAAGTATGAAGGATTTGTTACAGCGTATTTTATTATTGTTTAGTAATTTACAACCTGTATATTGATAATTATTAATATTACGATTAAAATATTTTGTAGATAATGCGCTAATTTCTTCATTGTTTTCTTGTAGTTTTTTTTATCTATAATTTACTTTAAGATCTTATGTGATATACGATACCGTGCACCCTACAATTATTTGCGCACCATTCGTCACAGCAACGAAGACAAGACTTCACTTTTTATTTAAATTTTTCTCATAATAATAATAATAATAATAGTAATAGTAATAATAATAATAATAATAATTATTATTATTATTATTATTATTATTATTAACGTTATTATTAATTAAAATTTTGCCATGATCATTATTTTAGCGTTCATCTATTGCCGCTGCAAGGACAAACGATAAATGTAAAGAATAATAACGGGATTAAATAAGAATTGGAGTTTCGTAAATAATTTAATAATGTAGTGTTTTTTTTTTTTTTTTTTTTTTTTTTTTTGTCGAAGCGGCGTCTACTCATAATTTGCCTTTATTCATTGAGTAAGGATTTCCTCAAATATAATTAGTAATTTCACGCATTTGTGATTAATTTGTGATTTAAGGTTAATGAAGAAAGTAAGGAGAGTTCAAATTTCATTGCTTACAACTACTGGATGGAACATTAGATTATTATTTGAAGAATTTTCTTTATTAAATTAATCATTTATACAATGCACGTGTAATTAAGAAAATTTATAGTATTAAATGTAAAAATTCTTTTGTAAAGACTAGTAGATGCAGTTTACCATTGATAACAATACAATAAATAAACATAAATGTAGAATAATTAAATTTTAACTAATTTTAATTAAAACTGCTTCGATACTGCTTTTCCTTTATTGCTTACATAGTGTACATAAAGCGAACACTTTAAATGCATATGTGTGCAAAATTGAAGAAAAAAGTGAAAATTAAGTTATATCAGTCAATAAAAGCTCTAGGTCCAAGTTTACGTTATACATTCTCTGGAATTACGTGGAATAAATTACTTTAAAAATTGATTTAAAGTCATATGTGTACGTGCACTTTAAATATAAATATTCGTAAAATCATCGTTGATTAACCGATGTAGATTAACTATCGTTATATGAGTGAATATTTCGCCTCAAATTTACAATTATATTCTTTTTAAAAAATTGAAATAACAATTAAACATACTTTTAAATAGTTTTTGTCTTTTTATTCAAATGGATTATGCTATTCGTTTGAAATTCAAAAGGTACAACGAGTAAACTTCTATTTCGAAATAACTTTGAATTAATACGTGTTCTCGAAGTTATTTCACCTTAATAAATGAATATATTTCAATATAATAATACATGTGCCACCAAAAATCGAAAATTACGTTTATTATATTTGGCTAGTGCTCGCTTGAACAACTATTTTAATTTTAATAACTTTACTTATCACTGCCGCTTATCTTCGACAATTTTGGTTATTTTTTTTTTGCATTTTATCTCTTACCTCATTATCTGTTTTATTCTGTATAATTTTTTTCCTTAAGTATTTCGATGCTTAATAATATTTGGGTATGACTGTTATAAAAACATGCGATTATTCTTTTTTTTTCTCTTTTTTATTATTATTTTTTTTTTTTTCATTTTTTTTGTTTTTTTGTTTTGTTTTGTTTTTTTGTTCGTTTTGTTTTTTGTTTTTGTTTTTGAAATATGTCAGTTATTTTTATAAATAGTGTTTTCGCTACTTAATTATTATTTTTCTTTAGTATTAATCTGGAAATATGTTGTATTGAAATCTTTTAAATTTGTAAAACGTATGCTTTTGTAATGATAAATATATAATAGAATAGCAAATATCCTTCGATTCCAAAAATAAGGGCAATTGATTTTGATTGTGCAATTTAGATTTTCTACTTATTGATTAAGCTTTTCGAAGTAAAAGTTCACTATGAAAATAAAACCCGCGTCGCGTAGTGTACAAAAAACTCTCTATCGTCTACCATATTATTGTTGTATTTGTCATTGAAAATAAGTCGAAACTAACGTATTTATCATTTATCATGAATTATGTATTTAAGAGTGAAATGCATTAATATATTATCATAGAATATTTATAAAAATTGCAAACGCCAAATAAATTATTATATAATTTTATACTTTTTATGAAAGAGAACATGATACAAATTTGATTGTGACCAATAATTCCTAATTCAATAGTTGTTTATAAAAATATCTTACTACTAATTTTTAAATATTATAATTTACGAAGAAGTACATTATCAATAAAATTCAATGGAAATAATGAATTTCATATAATTATACAGCTATTCACAAACGAATGACAATGAAAGAAAGAAAAATATATACTACGATCGAAAGAAAAATAGTGCTTTCAAAAATTCAAATCTTAGAGAACTTTAGATTTTAAATTTATTTTTCATCATACTAAAATTAAAAATGACCAAATATTTAATAATAATATAAATTTATTATTATCTGCTATATTTTGCAGTTTTTCGTAAGTTCGGATCTACATCTACATTTGTGTGATAATATACGTTTGCCTCTTTATATTGTTTTTTTTTTTTTTTCACACTGCAAAGAAGCTTATCGCGAACAACAGATTATGCACCTTTTTATAAAACAATATAAATATTTTTTAAAAAAAACTACTATATAATAAATATAAATTCCTTAAATAAATTCATGTTAAATGTTTATACAAATAAATTAATATTAATATATTTGTGTCGTAATCTCGAGATTTATCCCATTGATTATTTTTATTTATTAAATAGAAAAATATTTAAGCTTGCGCACGAGAGAAGAATCAGTGTGCATCGGACAGACTTGACGTAATTGTCGAGATTCTTATACATGCATAGCCACTATGATCAATGTATTTATTTAATTGTTTATTTGCATGATTTTGGACAATAATAATTATCATTCTGCTAGAATGAAATTATCGTGGGTGTGTAATAATATCCGTACAATTTTAGCTTTCGAAATTAAATCGAGGCGATTTAAAGAAACTGTACTTGAACTTTTTTTGTTGTTGTTTTATGTTTTTCTTTTGTTTATCTTTCTTTCTTTCTTTTGTTGTTGTTGTTGTTGTTGTTGTTGTTGTTGTTTTCAATACCCTATCTATCCCGTTAAATACATTTGTGGTCTGCAAATGTATGTAACGTTTATGAAATAAAGAAATTATCACACGGTAAATTTAAGTCTTGCATGTGTCTACAAATGCAATTTGACAAATAGTTTAATTTTTAAACATAGCATGTATAATAAGTAGTTTGCTGTTCTTCTTAATGCATTAAAAATGCTGCTCGTTATTCTTTTCTTTTCAAGTCTCATTACACGTCGGTTATTAAATCATACGCAAATTGAATTGACTGATATTGTACTCGAGAGGATGTGATAGTTGATTAGTTTTCATTTTTTTTTTTTTTTTTTTTTTGTTTCTTTATACATACTATATTATTCTTGAATGAATTATTGAATTATTATTCATTAATTGTTTAGCGTGTCAATGTATTTAAATGATTCGATAGGCATAAATTGTATTTCAATTAAATTGAGGCGCAAAGTGATGTGCTATTATCGATAATCATAGGAATATATTAATTGGAAATACGTCATACTATACAGACATTATTTTAATGAATATTTGCCTGCATGAATATGCCATCTTAATGTCTATTAAAAATTATAAGACAAAAATATGAAATGATAAAGCGTATATAATGTACGAATCGATCGAAATTGCTTATAGTTAAAAACTTTCAAGGAGCTTGTAAATCAGTATCACTATTCGAGGAAACGTATAATAATTTTGTTATATATTTATACAAGTTTATTATCATAGTTTTAATTAATATGTGTCGCAAAATTTACACTCATTTACTAACTATTACCAAAATTTTTATTAAAATTCACAATTAAACATTACATTAGCTTTAAGTAAAATTGTTATTAATATCATTTACAAATAATTGATTACGATACATTAATGAGTCGTTGGAAAGTGTCGCGATAAACGAGGTGTGCCAAGATCACTACGAGAAACAACTCGTAGATCACAGAAAATAATACTTATGTGGATAAGTTGTTCGATAATCACATCCCCTCACATGAAAAATGCCTAGCTTAACCTTACGTTGCTGCATCGCCTCAATTGGCCAAAACTGAATGCAAAAAGGTCTGCTCTGCGTAGGCACGCGCGTAACCAGCAACAGAGGACCTTTTTCAGTACTCGTAATGCGTTAAGTAATGCCATCGTGCAATTATAAGATCGGCAGAGAAATGGCCTTTGGAAGGGTTCCTTAGAACGTAAGCGAACGAGCACATGCTTAAAAATTAAGTCTGAGAAAATAAGTTGCGTTAGTGTGTTACATCCGTAGAAATGGAGGATGCGCGCGAATCGTTAAGCCTCGCGAACGCGACGCGCAATCGCGAGGACAGCGCCCATCGCGTACTATTTCCTTACGAAGTTGACGACAAGCTGCCGACCCGCGGCGAGTTTCGTCGACGAGGCTTTGCCGAAAAGTGCAAGCGTTCGCGCCCTCGACGTCTGTTGCTGCTGCTGCTGCTGTTGCTGTTGCTGTTGCTCCTTTTCAGCTGATCTTGAATCCAGGTGGAAGCGACCGGAGCCATTGGTGTCTACTTGCTGCTGATGCTGATGCTTTTTTAGCGATTCCTGTTTGGCACCGCTACGGCAGACAGAGAGAGAGAAGGAGAGAGAAAGAGACAATGCATGATTCATTGATCGTTTGGATCGCGGTCTCTACTTCTCTCGTGCTAAAAACGAACTTGGCGCATGATTTACGTTACGAGTTGCGCACGATTTCTCCAATGCCAATGCAATTTCCCTTTCGCGCATTATCATTATATATCGAAGAGGCGCACTTTGGCACACTGCTTTAGCGAATTTAGTACCGTGAAGGCCGAGACGAATTCACATACTTTGCTTTTGCTTTATTTCTCTTGTCTTCGTCATTCACGGCTTGAAAATGTCTGCAAATTGCGCCAAAAACAATAAATCTTTAAATGATTTTCAACGGTTTTGAATGGTCTTGCTCCTTTAAATCAATAATCCTCGTATCATTGCTAATAATTAAAGTCCTCGCGCGTCTTTTCAATATGACTGGGCATTCGTTGAAATATAATTGTACTAGAAAGCTAGCGTATTTAAAAGAGATATCGCGATTTCTCAAGTTCAGGAGCTAATAATTAACGGGTCGTCCAAATTAGGATGAATGAATGAATGTGCGATGACGCATTTGCGCGCGACTAATTTCAAACGGTTAAAGCATAAGCGACGAATTCGATCGAATTTCGCAATACCGATAGTATAATATATTGCCGTATCCCTCATAAATTCGCCCGATCGTGTCGACTCGCTAATACCAATCGCGTATTCACATAATCGCCAGTGGCGTCAAGTCACTTACAGATATCGCGTAAGGTCCTCGACATCGACGAGCATCGAATCCTGCTCCATGTGTAAATCATCGCGACGAAGAAGACCCTCGACTAAGGACTCGTTGAGCGTCGCTATCCTTGCGTGCAGATCGTTGGCAAGAACTTGAAGCTGAGCGATATTGAGCTCGGTGAGTAGGGCCCGGGTCAATCGCCGCCTATCCTCCCCAAGACTTACGCCAATCTAAAAGCCACGAGCATTTAGCCATCTCGTCGAGGTATTTATGTGTGTGTGTGTGTGCGCGCGCGCGCGCGCGCGCTCGTGTGTATTAATATGGCATTAGTATGTATTCGCATATCGAGTTTGATGTAGCCATTAGTATTGAATTGCTTCAATAATAAACTGCCTCAGACGCATTTGCGATATTTAAATGCGCCGTCGTTTATAATTAATTGATTGGCCGGCAATCAACTCAATCCGGATTGGCTAATTTATCATTAGATACCTTATGAAGACTGGCGCGCACCATCTCCGTTATCGGATTCTGTTTAAGCTTCTGACGCTCGATCTCCATCTGCATGTGGGCCATCTCCTTGGCTTGCGCGAGGGCCAACCTGGCTTCGATCTGGAGGCGGGCTTGTCGAGCGAAAAAGTCGGCCTCGTCGAAGGGTCCGTCGCCGAAGGCCGCATCGAGCCGCAACAGCGGTGGAAGACTCAGAACCTGGGGTCTCGTTGAGCTCTGCTGGATGTTGTAATCGCAGGGCGAAATGACCATGGAAGCGGACGACAAGGAGGACGGGGATGAATTACAGTGGAAGCTTGACGGCTTGGTCGGGGAACCGGCCTCGTTACCGTCCTGACTCAGCACCGACTCTGTGTCCGATGATGTTTCGTTCATGAAGCATATTTGTAGATTCATACCTGAAATGCAAAAGAGCGTATTGGCGTGTGATTTTTTTGTCGATTTATGATTGTTAATATGGTTGAGTGTCATTGTGCTGACGTCGGAGAGGTAGGGGAAAGGCGATTTATAAATCAATTTTGGAGAAAGAAATTTTTGAAATTTTTACTTCGCCGTATAAAAAAAAAAAATTACTTTTACATTCTTCACAAAAGGATTTTATTACATTGTAGTTAAAGCATTTAAAATGAGTTTTGTTAGATATTATATATATATATATATATATATATATCTTTAAATTTTATTTAAATTTATATCTTTTAAATCGTCTTTTTGGAGAAAATTTGAAGGAAGTAAACATATCGACCAGTGTAAATATTTTTGTAAAAAAATGAACGCAAATTTATGCATCAACTTATAGGTAAGTTTTAAAAAAGACTAATTATTGATTTTAAAAATATCACTTTCACATTTCCTTTCGGTGTCTTATATTACATTCCCTTATATATTTTCAACGATTAATTGCAATATAATTTAATAACTATTATTATTAGTCGAAACATTTTAACAATGCTTTATATAGGAATTGAAAATTTCTGTCTAATCGATTTTACTTGATAGAAAATCTTTTAGATCATTAGCGCAACAAAGAAATTTGCTATAAGACAATAAAAATCTGCAGTTTCAGAACAATTGTGTGTTAAACTTGTTAAAAGATATAATGTTAATGGAAATTAATTATCAATGTTATATGATACGATTGTAGGGCAATTTTGTTGTTGTTTTTTTTTTTTATAAAATTCTTACTTAAGATTCGAGAAATGTTGTAACAAATGTTTTTATACGCAAATCATAAATTCTGACATTTTTTATTTTGTTTTTAGTTTTGCTTGCTTTTGAATATAAAAGTACAGATTTTACTATTTGGTTAAATTAAAATAGCACATTGAAATAAATCTATGCCAAAACTAAAAGAGCGTACATTAAACTCATTATGAACTACATATGAATTATTTTTCGCATTAATTATATTTCAATCATGGAATTAAATGTTTAAGAAACAGGAAATAAGGGAAAGTCAATTACATTTCAGATTTGTAAGATAAATAAATAATTATTAAAAACGATGGGTATCACGCATCAAATTAATAGGGAATAAAAAAAAATTTTTTTTTTTTTTAATACATTAACAGCTAAATTGTTTACTTGATAATTTCGATAAATCATATACAATGTCACGATGCATATTAAAGAAAAGAAAAATATATACATATTTAATGTAAGGTTATCTTTCAATTAATTATTTTATACCAAAAGTTAATTCAATATATATTACTCTATTGGGCACATACGTACGAAGAGGGAATTAAAAATAATTTACCACTTTGAAGACGAGATTGAAGACTCGGCTTTCTACCTCTTTCGGTGCGAATATCATCGGTGTCCGAACCCATTGCCAATCGTTTACGGATTTCCTCTCTGTCATTACGTCGCTAAAGCAGAAATAAAAAAAAAAAAAAAAATAAAAAAAAACAATTAAATGTTTTAACGAAAATTAATACGATATTACATGCAACAATGAAGAAGTATTTGTGTATTTAACTATTATGTTATTGTAAAAAGATTGTAATATCTCGGTCACTCACATGATCGGCCAAATCATCATCGTCATATGTTAACGTGTACAAATCACCAACAAAACGAGAATCAACTTTATAATGCCTACGCTTATCTTTTGCTAAATTCTTCATTTGCAAGTAATTAAACTGTAAGGTCAGTGAATATTTGAAAAAATTCTTATTAAGAATACGCCAGTACTTTGGAGGAAAAAGAATTTTTAGGATTCTTATAATTTCATTGGAAGAAAAATGAAATATTTATATTTGCTACTAAGCTATTAAAAAAGCGTGCGCGCGAATAATTAAATTTAACGTTAAAATAAATATCTTCGGCCGGCCTTCAACAGTTCATTATGAGTTTATTAAATAATATAAAGATACATTTAAATGTAATATATTAATATTTAAAAAATTCACATTTCACATTTGTTTCTTAAATAACGCGACTTTATTCTTATTATTATCAATTATTGCAAATTACAAATTACAATACAATTATTATTATTGTTTATTATACATTGCTCATCATATCATTGATAAGTGCTTAACAA